CACACACACACACACACACACACACACAAACACACATCCTCTGCGCCTCTCCCCGAACCTTCTATCACCCTCCGCATCTTTCCCCGAACCTACTATCATCATCCACACCCCTCCCCGAACCTCCTATCACCCTCCGCGCCTCACCCCGAAGCTCCTATGACCCTCCGCACCCCTCCCCGAACCTCCTCTCGGCCTCCCCGTCCCGGCTCTCAACATCCCCAACCTTTCCAACTCTGCACCACCGGTCTGCCTTCCCGAACCTCCTGTCTCCTTTCCACGCCTCCACAACCTTCCTTTCGCGGCACTTCGTCAACAACAACGACGATGACGACGCTTCAATCAACCAATAAATCAATAAATCAATCCACACAACCAACCCAGAAAATCAACCATACAGACAATCAATTAGCCAACCAATCAATCAATCAATCAATCAATCAACCAATGGCACAGAACTCGAAACTGGCAGACAGCCCCCATTTTGAGTCAAGAGGGAGGCCTTGGCAAACGCGAGATACACCCCTGATCAAAAACAAAAAAAGGCGTGCCACGTGTCGCCCACGTGTTCATCCGGATTTCGGGATGAACATGATGCAGGATATTCCGCCCAAGATATATCCCGCCGGAATTACCGTGCTGCTTAACTTTAAATCATTCCACTGTAGGGCGGGGGACAACATGCATCCCCTTAATTGCGAGAGGTAGCTATGCTTGCAGGGGTCCCCTGCATAGGCTTAGCAGTAGAGGTAGGAAGGTAGTGAAAGGTGAACTTGAGAGAAGAATATAGCTCAGTTATAGAAAGACAAAAGAAACAACAAATCATTCCATTGCTGATTTCCACACCTCAAAGAGCAATTTCCAGCAAATTTTCATACTTTTGGATGCGTGCGCACATATATGACAGCCTTCGCGTACAATACCATAAAAAAAACAGAAACGCATACGCGAGCACACACACACAAACACACACACACACGCGCGCGCGGGCGCATACACACACAAACACCCGCCCGCACACACGCGCACACATGCACACACGCGAACATGCGCAAACACACACGCATACGCCCACCCGCCCGCCACGTGTATACACAATATACCCATAACTAAATTCGCGTAAATTCGCGTAAGATGTTAGAGCGATTTGTTCTTAAAGACAGACTCATCGGTCGAAATGGTCGCATCAACGAATTTTGCAAGCTCTCCTTGGACATGTTTCCTGATCACCAGAGCTTGCCAAGTTTACTTGTGAGCCTGCTTTACTTCTTACAAACAAAACCCATCGCAAAGAAAAGGACATGGCTCAGTCCCCATCCGGTGTCGAAGCACTCGATTTATGAATTGATTCCGACAATATAATAATTCGATCAATGAATTAACCGGTATGTCCTCCGCATTCAATTGATTGCATTGACTGGAAGGCAGACAATTTACCTTTAATCTGCTATAGCTATTGATACTATATTGAATCAGAAGCAGATCGATGCAAAAGGTGCCTCTGAGAAAGAAAAGCTGTATTGTGTGTATGTAGCAATTGGTCAGAAGCGTTCGACCGTAGCACAATTAGTGAAAATTCTTTCAGAAGCGGGTGCTTTAGAATATTCTATTATTGTGGCAGCCACTGCATCAGATCCTGCTCCTCTTCAATTTCTTGCTCCTTTGAATGGGGAGCAACTCGTATTCCGCCGAAACCTGGGAAGAACGAAAAGCGTCCACTGGGAGTATCATGCTTCCAGGACAGGATCGTACAAGAAGTTCTTAGAATGATCTTAGAACCTATTTATGAACCCCGCTTTTCCACTTATTCACATGGCTTCAGACCGGGACGTAGTGCTCACACGGCCCTTAATGTTATAATGGGTACCTTTCATGGTGCGMAATGGTATATTGAAGGATCCCTGGAGGCCGAAGGCCCTGGAGCCGTAAATCATGGAACTCTGTATAAGATCATCCGGCGAACAATCCGAGATAAACGGATTCTCAAACTAATCCGCTCTGGACTGGTCGACCAATCAGTGCATCATCCATAAAGGCACTGCCCAACCACATGCCATCATGCCTGCGTAGAAAATCATAAACCCTCTATTTACATCACGTATACGCTCACCTATGTACCAACGCAACGGCAGGAAAGGTGGCAAATAGAAGCAAAGCTAATCCGCTTTACTTATATAACCAAAGTAAACGAATGCCCGGTGCTTATATACTAACGTAAATCATTTGCCCTCTCAAACGAACCTGCTGCCAGGGGAACGAAAACCATAAAGAGCCAAAAACACACACAAAAGGACTACCGCTTCCACCCAGCGCATCGGTGATTACAACTCGGGCCAGCGGTCGAAATAATGACCACCCATCTGACCATTAAAAACAACAACCAAACAAACCGACCTCGACACAACCGGGGTTGATATCTCCGCGCCGAGCTCGTTAAAAGTCGATCAAACCGGAACATAGCATCCATAGCACAATCAGTCGCAGAGGTCATCCCGCAGCAAAGCACACGAGCCGATCAATCAACCGTTTCGCAAATTCCAAATGCAACAGAACCGGAATGTGACAGTTCTCAAGCGCAGGACGCTGATATAACCGGGAACCCCAACGAAGAGCTACTACGTAAGGACAAGAGCAAATGAAAGTCAAAACCACGACCTAATAACGTAATAACAAAAACTCCACGTGCCAATTTCTCACTGTCGGACGTGGAAATCAAATATGCGGCAAGAACATGTTTGCTGAGCGGCGGCAGTCCAAAGCAAAAGCAACGATTTTCGTCATCATAATACTTATAGCCACTTGACTGTTGGCTATTCGCCAGAGTCTAGAAAGTCAGGGCTTCGCAGGCCGGATCTCTTCTTCCTCGACAATTCCCGTCTGATTGAACCAATTGCCAAGTACTTGCTGAGCGGCAAACCAAAGCAAAAGCGATGATTTTCGTCGTCCTAATACGTATACCATCTTCGATACTGCCAATCCGCCAGAGTCTAGAAACTCAGGGCTTCGCAGGCCGAATCTCTTCCTTGACAATTCCCCTCTGATTGAACCAGTTGCCAAGTACCTGCTGGTCGCTGCCCTCGTGACCATCGGCGACCATGAGATCCATAACGTCGACCGAGGAAGAGCTCATCATACCGCGCACGAGACCGACGAAGAGCACATCATACCGCGCACGAGACCGACGAAGAGCACATCATACCGCGCATGAGACGCAGTGTGCCGGAAGCGTGTGCCCAACGGACGGCGCCAGAAGCGTGTGCCTAACGGGCGGCCAGTATTCCCTGTCTACAGCAGCATTGGATGATGGCCAAACAGACCATCAAGCGGGCAAGTGCTCAAGGGAGAAGAGAGACGGAGGGGGGGAGGGGGAACAGGGAAATTAAACCTTTTTTTTTTAAACTAAGCCCATATTTATTCTGGGGGGCTGCAGTCAGGTTGCTTATCACCGACGAGCACAAGTCCTGAAAACGAGGTGATATAGAAATTGCAGACTGGCCGCATGTGCCCGACTGGATCCGAACGTCGTAGATCGGCGTCCAATCAACGTTGCAGAATCATCTTAATAGGCGAACCGCGAGCAACCGCCAAAGCAGCCTTCCAGGGCTTGGCTGCATTCCTTGAGCTCGATTTTCCAGGCTTTGATATCCGCCGCGGTCGCCTTAAGAGTGCTCTTCTGTAGAGTGAGTAATGACATACACAATGCCAAACGCAAAAGAAAGCAAGAAATAAAGTTAAATACGTCGGCACAGCGACCTTCCCGACTAGACTTTTCTTCTCCCCAACCAGATTTCTTAAGATCATGAAGGAGGAGGTAGGAAGGGTTGGCTTCCGTGATGACCATAAAAAAACAAACAGGGGGGCAACTACGGCGCAGTCATGATTTTTCAGTTTAATATCCACTACGGGCATCCCTCGAATACAACACATCCCCACCCGACCCTAAAGATAGGTTGTATGCATTCACGATTTTCCTCACTTCGGCACAAAAAAAATTGAAGGCAGAATACGCACGGTCAAAAACGAAACGATTTAAAAAAAAAAAAAAAAAAAAAAAAAAAACGAAACGACATCAAACAAGGTAAACTATTAGATCTGTTACTCTCCCGCTGCGATAAGCGAGCAGCAGGCGACGGGAAATAAAAAGTAAAACCCGGTGCACATATCACAAGAAGCGATGGACCAACGATGGCATTGTTACTGAAATGCCCTGATTTTCAATAAGTGAGGAGAGCAAGGACAAATGCCCAAAGACCAGCAAAATGCGGAATTGGACCATATATATGAAGACCTGAAAGCATGTGACCGAGAAAACCGGAAAAAAAAGCTCCAAAAAGAAAACAGGGGGGAAAGCATGTTACTTAAGGAACACCAAGCCAGCGACATATGGATGACATATACACCCATTGAGGATCGCCTGACATAGAACACAACAAGCAAAGGACTGTGTTCCATATAAGAGTCAGGATCTCCGAACGCATGTCCCGGTATGGAACCACTTACCCTGGCACATAACGAAGAAAAGCCATGAACAAACAATAGAGGCTCTCGCACAGACGGAAGCGTGAGAGAGGGAGGACGATGGAGACACGGACCAGGCATATTGCAGGATGTAAAAGAAATTCCAATCACCTTGGAAAAGGTTGTAGAAGCACGGAAACAAAATCCCTCGGAATCGAACCGTGCACCATAGGGCGGAACAACGCACACTGTACAACGCGTTCGGAGACCGTTAAAACACAACGCGTATATGTGTACACATATCAGCCTCCTGATGAGTCGGTAGGTGAAACTCCGACGAAACAGTTTGTCACAGCCCCTCGTTTGTTGTCCTCTTCTCCCTTTTGTCCCTCTCTGCCTACGGTTTACAGGGCATATATTTATGAAACCTGGAACCGAACTTCCGCCGTACAAGCACTTGAACAATAGCAAATGGAACACCCACGGCAGAGTGCTAGCCGTTTCCGGAAAAGGTTATACACACCGAAGGCACAGAAATAACGCAAGACTGCGGAGATGGAAAAACACCAGCTCATTATAATCAGCAGGATCAGTACCGATCGCGGGTATACACCGCTCCAGAATAATACGTCGATCAATCAGTTCACGAACGGCCGCGTCATTCATCAACGGGCTATATAATAACGTGCCTGTTACGCAAATACAGGATTGCGAAAAACAATGAACAGGGGATAACAAGCGGAAAAGATCACCCTCAATTGGCTATGGTTAACACTCTTGGAAGTAAATATGGACACAATTTTGCTCTCGTCTCTTTCCGCGCATTTCTCTGTTTGAGGCGGGATCAAAGAAGGGGCGGGACCGAAAAAAGGAGCTTCCGATTCAACGAGAAATCGAGAAACTTACCATAGCGTACTCGACGAGGTTCTTGCATGAGAAGAAATCGATCTTGCATTGCACCTTGCAGGGATTATCATCGGCAACCGTTTGTTTCACGACCATATGTACTGGACGTTGTGGTATAAACGCTCGATCATGACTTGGAATCTTACGTGGAAGTTTGTCAGAGTTAAACACTGTGTTGAACACGAATTGCTCGGCACTGCAGGTGACAGCCGAAGCAAGGAGAAGCGTAGCCATGGTGGCGAAAAGCACACAGAAAGTAGATGTCTTCATGATTGCCGACGAGAAGAAAGTGAGAAAATCTCTCCTCTTCGACAAACGAGAAGAAAGTGAGAGAGAGAGAGAGAGAGAGAGAGAAGACCTGCGTACACTTGGCTATGAGCTCACAAACTTGATCGGACCAGCAACGTAAGCTCGCAAATGACGACAGACGCCGGCACCAAGCAACCCGTGTTGAGCTAAGGCCGCTCAAACCGACAGTAGCTATGGAGCTACAAGAATACTTCCTTAGTTGCGTCTCCGCCTCATAGGCTTACCTCGCTGGGCAGCTCTCCAGCTGAACGACGATTCCTAAACCTCCGCCTGCTCTGTTCGTCGCACAGCATTGTTTTGGGATACTATCGCATTACGAGTTTCACAAAACATCTTGACTAAGGCCGTAGATCCTGCGAAAATCTACGGCGCAGAAACCTACGGGTCTCGTGACACCTGTTGTCCGCTCTGAGCTCCCGCCAAAACCACCCGCGATAGTAAGGCGCGTCTTTTTCCCTGCGCCAGACACAGCTGTGTGTCACCTGTGTGTGTCGCCGCTTGTCTCCCGCCCTGCACACCAGTCATCTGGCGGGCGAAAGAAAAAGTGAACAGGACAGCACCGTTACGGCGACAACTTCGACTGAATTCGAAAACGACAAAGGCACACGATGCACAGGCCTACCCGGCCAGTGCAGGTAGGGTAGGGTAGGGTAGGTTAGTTTTGCGATGGTAGGAGTGATAGTAGTTTAGGCATTGACACCGGCCTAACATGACCGGTTGGAACCGAAGTTCCAAGTCACCGTGGTACTCTTCCACCCTCCACCCCTGGATGACCTCCTGCGGTCGGCTCCTCGAACCGAGATACCCTGGTTCGTGCATATGGTTGTGTTCGAATAAAAAACGTACTGGTTCTAATCAGATTTTGAAAAGCGAAAACGGTTTTATTCGAATATATCTCTTTCCTTTTCCTTTTTGAGCTCAGCGCCCTCTCCCAGATGAGGGTGCCTTGTGTTGGCAGAAAGAGGCATGCGAAACGAAAAACGAAACGAATGAATCTTCCCACAGGAAATGGCCAGGCTCGTTGGTTTGCTATAAATGGTAACGAGTGTATTTTGCCACCTTTGTTGGGCAGATGCACTCTTTTCGTTTTCGTTTCGTGTGCCGTGCGGTGAGACCTTTTGGATGTCTATACAGTATATTCCCGATAAGTGATGGAGAGGAGAATTATGGACCCACGGCGGCCGCGAGTCTTCGGTTAGCGCTATTCTTGGCGCTCCGCTCCGTAGCGGTACCCAGGGAGAGCGCTACCCGAAGACTCTAGGCCCGGGGGACACAGCGGTTGGCGCGTTTCGCGCTCTAAGTTTGTGTCTTCGGGTAGGACCGAGGCAGCCATCACCACGAGCCACCATCATGATAACCGTGCTGTTAGAGAGTTTTCGTGCTCGGTATTTTCCGAGCCGTCTCCTTGGTGAGGAAGACACTCAGGCTGTCCCCAGAGTAGGTTAGTGCTATTGAAGAATTTGTGCATGTGGAAAATTTGGACTATTCAGAGGTTACGAAGACACCAGCAAGTAGACGCGCGCCATCGTCAGGTGCTCGTCTTTGACAAGTCCACGAAGGAAAAACCCCGCTATTGTCAATTGGGAGTTTAAGTAGACGTCAACGGTCGGGTAGATGGCATCGCCATTAAGATCGGCAGGCCATTCTGAAGGTAGAGGACGCTCCCCACCAGATCATACGGATGTGCCGTTGTCCGACGAAGACAGACTAAGACTGCTAATCTCCAAATGTTACGACGACGGAGTACTTCCTGAGAAGTTCCGTCATGGTGAATGGGCGGTTGAAGGGGGAGTCCGCACCTTTGTTGTTAACCCTCGCTTGGATGAACTCACAACAAACTGGCTGAAGGGGCATACGGTCACTGTCATCTTCCAAGGAGCTGCCAGAGACTTACCGATGCGAGTGCGAGAAGACCTCATCCGCGCGTATGAAAATGGATCGTATCGACAATGAATTTTCGAGCGCAGTACAGGTAAAGGAAGAATTCATGCGGAAGGTCCGAACGTGATCTCATACGTGGCAAGGTCGAGAGAGGTTGCACAGTGGATGGTTGCCAAGGCCGAAGACACCATCACCATTAGAGGGATGGAGTACACCATGCAGTTTAAACCTTGGATGACCAAATCGAAGCTGGAAGAGAGAAGACGGATTGAGGACGAATCCAAGTTTTGGGTAATGGCGATCCGGGTGCCACTGAGGGTGATGTTTCATGTGGAGAACATGGTTGAAACTTCAATGGGACGGGTGATCAAGAGCTTGCCGCCGGAGCAGGATCGCACCAGACCAAAGCTCATGAACCTCAAATTCGAGTTGGTGAAGGAGGCAGAGGAGAAGTTTGAACCGGAATTGGCGGTGCGCTTGGGCAGAGAGGTGTTCCGAATCAAATTTGTGTGTAAACACACCCCATGGTATGATAAGTGTGAGTGGTGGTTTCATACCTCGACGGAAGGATGCCCACGGGAAGGTGAGATGGAGGACCTACCTGGTCAGGGGGACGGCAGACAACAACACCAACCGGTAAACCGCCATATCAGAGATGCAGCGAGGGACGACGCTAACCAAGGTCCAAGAAGGAGGGAGAGCGGTTTTGCATCGGGAGCTACATCCGGTAGGAGTCAGCTAGACAGGAACCTCACTTGAGATGCTCATGGATCCGCCCGTTTCTACACGGGAGAAGGCAGTGGAGCTTACCTTCCTTCACAATTCCAGCATGGCAGACCGAACAATAGACAGCGACAATTTCAAGATTCTGTTCCGATCTATCCCCCGCCTCCCAGCTATGGTACCGGGGTGGGTTTCCAACCCTACGTCGCATCCTCACGTCTCCGCTGAGTGACGCCCATCTTCTTGGTATGCCAACATTTACCCAAGGTACGCTATTCCGTAACCAGTATGGGACGGGAGATGGCCTCAATTACAGAGTTTTGCGGCCGGATGGAGATGGTGACGGTACAGGGAGACCGACATCGAGCCGCAGCGCAACGGTGGGGTCGAGGACCCAGCAGCAAGAGCTGTACTCAGAATCTCGGAGAGCAACTCAGGAGGAGGGAGTCCATGGACGCTCAGCGGCACAAGAGGACGTAGAAGCAAGAGGATTGGAGGGTGACGGAAATCCACAGGATACCCCGACGTCCACCCCAATCCGAGCCGACGTGATGGAGGATTCCCCACGGGACATTCCAGAAGGAGTGGTGACAGCAAACTGCGAAGGCGGCGGGTTTAAAGAAGCAATGATCCTCCCACTCGTCTGTACGATGCAAGGATCCAAGGCTTTTGTCATTGGACTCTTGGATTGCAATGGGAACCTGGTCCTTCCTGCCAATGGTACAAACGAACCGCCGATGTCGGCCGCAATACGAGAGAGAATGCGATATCTATTTGCTGACAGATTTGTCTTCCGAATTTTTCTACAGTATTTTATGCCGAAATTAAGAGTTGAAGCTGGAGTGGATAAAGCAGTCTGTTATACAGTTGTCTTTATTGATGCCAGACTTCCAGCTGAAGCATGGGCGAGCCTACATCAGGTGGGTTTGGGCTCCCTTCCACTGAACGCTCTGACTCTTCCATCGATAGACATTGTGACGGACCCGCCGGGATGGCGGTCCGTCAGGATCAAGACGAAGGGATGAGGATGGGGGAGATGGAGATGGAGCTGGAAGGGACAGCGCAGCTCCAACGCAGACTCAACACGCACGTACTCCAATCTGTGCAAATGAAGAATGCCACAAAACAGACTGCAGCTGGGGTATATCCTCAGCGGACTGACTGGACTGGACTGGACTGGACTGGTACCGACAGTGGTACCGGGCAGGACTGGATTGGACTGAATAACCGCACGGCCTGGTCCCACAGGCCGGACTGGCAAATAGCCAAATAGGCCCTGGCTGTGGGCCAGGGCAGATGAAGGCCCGCTGCACGATCCTCAGACCTGTAATAGATCGCAAGAGCCATAAACACGCTATCCGCAAAAGCAACGAAACTCTGCAATAACGAAAGTTGAGAAATCTAGGATGCGGAGCAAGCTCCATGCAGAGTCCATGCGATGCATCCTAAGCTATATAATGTCAAAAGAAAAACAAATGTCTGGTATACATATCCTAGCTAACARCAGAAAATGAAATGTAGTATGATACACTYCTAAAGTCCTGGAGGCARTGRCCTCAGTGCTGAAAGGAGAAGAGCAATATGTCACAAGATAATGTCATGTCGYTGAACCACTAAAAGTGGGATGGTCTYAGAGGGGGTGAATGCAGCCTAAGAATCGAAACTCCTAAGGGCAGTCACACATGAAGGTGGGATAGGTCATCAGGCTCAAGGTGGGAGAGTGGTAGCGAAACAAAACCAATGACCCTAACAGATAGACCATCAAGGTGGGTAATGCTCGACAAGGGTGACACCATGCAGGSTCKACCATGAAAAGGGGGAGCCWKGAATAGGGTGGAGATATGCCTAACTGAWGGCATGCAAGGGCCGRCACTAGGGTGATGAGGGCAGTGGGTGAGGGAAACATGCACACAACTCACCGACTGGGGGAGGAAGGAGCTAGATCTGGGAGCAGGGAAGCCAAGATAACGCTACGGTCCCAATGCCTATGCGATACCAAGGGAAAGCCCAACTCAAAGAGACCCAGCTAAGTGAGAACCATCATGCGACAGATGCAAGGGAATGTACAGGGTAGGGTGGTGGCGTGAAGTAGTCCTGCCAAAGTAGCTGAAGCCAATACGGTAGTTGAAGTCGTCGAATCGGTCGATGACGTCGATGAAGTAACAGTCGCGTCGATGTCGAAGCAGAGCCGCAAAACGCTGACATCCTGAAGAAGAGCTGATGATGGAGTACCTGATGGTGTAAGTCAGTGGGGAAAGATGGAGGATAAGAGTGTCAGTCATCGTAATGTGAAGGGCGACGATGAGTGCGCTGTGGACGCTCGGAGGCGACCATCTGCGGCTGAGGAACGGCCTCAGAGGGAGCGGGCTCATCCTCAGCGATCTCCTCAGCCGGAGGAGGAGGAAGAGGGTCAGTCGGCTGAGTACAAGCAGATGTCCCAGCACGACGAGCACGATCATATGCACGCACCAACATCCTGGCGTGCTGCAAGTGCTCGAGGGGTAGCCCTTCCAACGCACAAGGTACTCGATGCGTGGAGGGGTATCGTCGGTAACTCGGCATGATACGATGTCGGAAACAACGAACTCCTCGTGACCGTTCACCATGATAGGTGGAGGGCGCTCATAAGGGCGTCCGGCGAAGCGCTCGGACGGTCTGCGATAAGGACGCAGCAAGGAGACGTGGTAAACATCGTGTACGCGAGCCTGTCGAAGGTAATCAGGTAGCTTCACACGGAAGCTGACTGGACTAGCGGCAGTATCAGAGATGACGGCCTGAAGGATGCGGCATGGACCGAAGAAACGACGCCTGAACTTGCGAAGCATATCTGCTTCGAGCTGTAAGTGGCGTGCATCGACGAGCACATCGTCACCGACTTTGAATATATGATCCATTCGTGATCGGTTCGCTCGTGCGGCCATGCGAGTCTGGGAGTCGGCTAAACTTTCGTGTGCGCGCTTCATAATCGCCGCCATGTGGGCGATCCAGTCGTCAAGCGCAGGCCAACGAGTGTCTGGGCGCAACCGCGATGGTCGTAGGAAATCCGCAGGTACGCGAGGGTGGTAGTCGAGGTCGCAATAGAATGGCGACATCCCCGTGGCTGGCGAAACAGCGTGGTTGTACGCAATCTCCGCGTGGGCTAAGTGTAAGTCCCACTGCTGGTTATCCCTAACAAACTTTCGGAGGATATTACCGAGAGTTTTGTTGGTGACCTCAGTCTGACCATCCGTCTGAGGGTGGTAAGACGATGAGAAGCGGAGCTGGGATCTGTACACCTCGTGTAGGCGTCACCAGAATGTGTTGGTAAAGCGCGGGTCACGGTCGGAGATGATGCTCTAAGGTAAGCCGTGATCTCTCACGACTCGGTCGAAGACGATATCGGCGACCTCCCGAGCGCTAATGCGATAGCGGCATGGAACAAAACGTGCACGCTTCGTGAAGCGATCGACGACGAATAAGATAGCATCATGACCGCGCTGAGTGGGTGGGCGGAGGGGACCAATGAAATCCATCGAGATAGACTACCAACGACCTTCAGGTATGGGTAGGGGCTGAAGTAACCCATACGTAAGGTGGTTCGCACTGTTCACCTCCTGGCAGGTAGGACACTCCTGGATGTAGGCTTTGACAAAGTCCTTGAACTTCGGCCATACGTATAGGCGGCAAACACGAGCCAACGTCTTGTGGAAACCCATATGACCGGCAGCTGCCTGGTCATGGAACTCTGCTACAGCCTGGACGCGGAGCTGTCCGGTGGAGGGAACGCAGATACGTGGTTCTAGCTGACCAGATCTGCCATGTCAGTACACGAGGCCGTTCTCCCCGAGGGAGTAGGAAGGAACGGTCTTGCCACTCTGCAGTGTCGAGTGGATGACGCGATAATCGGGGCAGTGGCGGTACTGAGTGCGATACGCGTCGATCACCGACTGATCAACACTGGTGATGGAGATGGCAGCAAGATGGATGGGTTCCTGATTGTGATCAGGAGGGCGGGACAAGGCATCGGCGACGCGGTTCGTTTCACCCTTGATGGGCTGAGTGGTGAAACTGAACTCGGATAAGTCACGCCACCAGCGTGCCTGTCGAGGGGAAAGCTTAAGCTTCGTGAGGAAAGCCTGGACAATTGAGTTGTCCGTGCGCACCGTGAAGGGCGCCCCATGCAGATAATGACGCCAATGTCGGGTAACATAAACTACTGCGAGAACCTCACGTTCATCGGCAGTGTAGTTTATCTCGGCAGGTAGTAGCTGACAGGAGTAGAAAGTGATCGGGCAATCCCCAACACGAGCCTCGACCGTCCCATCCTCCGCGATGGTCGTGGAGTAAGTAATGAGAGGACTGTCAGTGGAGGGAAGTGGTGGTAGGATAGGCGTCAGTCGAGAAGCAGTGTCTGCAGGAGGGGGGGGGAAAGGAGGAACATGGGGGTAAGGTGAATTTGGAGGAGAGGGAAACACCTGAGAAAGGACAGCTCCTACTGCAAAATCTGACGCATCGGTTGTGATGATAAAGGGACGATCAAAATCGGGAAGGCGAAGAATCGGCGCGCAAGTCACCGCCTTCTTGAGGGCGCGGAAGGCGTCCTCGCAGAGGGGTGTCCAAAACCACGGCGGGTTCTTTCGGAGGAGGGTGGAGGTAAGGACGTAGGAATACCTAGCGTATCCCTGGATAAAATTACTATAGTAGCTGGTGAGGTCTAGAAAGTTGCGAAGCTGCATGGCAGATGTGGGGACGGGCCACTCTGCAATAGCAGTGATCTTCGCGTCGTCCATGTGGAGACCCTGGTCAGACAAATGGTGTCCTAGGAAGTCCACTTTGCGCTGGGCAAAGCGGCACTTACTGAGCTTGGCATAGAAGCCATGCTTGCGTAAGCGCTGTAGGACATCGCGGAGGTGTCTGATATGGTCTTCTAAGGTACAACTGTAGACCAGGATGTCGTCCAGGTATACGAGAACGTATTCTTCAAGGATGTCCCTGAAGATGTCGTTCATCGCCGTCTGGAAGGTGGCGGGTGCATTGGTGAGGCCGAATGGCCTCACCGTGAACTCGTAGTGGCCGAAGCGCGACCGAAAGGCGGTCGTCGGCTGGTCCTCTGCGGCAACGCGGATCTGGTGGTAATCGCTACGAAGATCGATCTTCGTGAAGAAGCGGTTGCCTGCCAGACGGTCAAACAGCTCATCCGCGCGGGGCATGGGATAGTTGTTCTTAACCGTGTAACGGTTAAGGCCGCGATATTCGATGCAGAGGCGGAGAGTTCCGTCCGCTTTGCGAGCAAAGAGGACAGGTGCACCCCAAGGGGAGTTACTAGGTTTAATGAAACCAAGTCGAAGGAGCTCCTCAAGCTGACGCTTGAGTTCCGTTGCCTCTGGAATCGAGAGTCGGTATGGTGCCTGATGGTGAACACGATAGTCAGGCACGAGCTGGATGGAATGCTCGACACCGCGCATCGGGGGAATCCCGCTGTATGAGAAATACGGGGGGAGACGTCGCGGTACTCCCGAATCAAGTCGTGAATGACGGGCTCTAAGTCAGCCGTGAACCGCATGAGTTCCTCAACGTCTGCGTCGGCACGAGACGTATGGGTGGACTCGGCAGTGGACGGCGTAGGAACCTGGGATGTCGAGGGGGTATTCGCAGGCTGTGGGGTGGATGTAGAGATGGGAGCCGCGAAGATGGAGGAAGGGTCAGGGGGATCGGGCTCTAGTGAGATGAGCTCAACCTCGGGACAGAGTGGATCATAGCGAAGAAGTTCCATGACGTTCACTGAGTAGAGCGTGACGTCCTCCTGTCGGATGAAGTGAGCAAACTGACAGGGAGAAGTGGAGATATCTGGGTGGGACCCAGAAGGACGAGGGTCCTAGGGAGGTAGGTTTGGAGGGGTGTCGCCCGTGGTTCCAATGAAGTGGACTCGATGGGTTTGACCACACTTCGTTTTGAGAATGAGTGTCTCAAACGCCCATTCGGCCTCTGTGCTACGGAACCGGCGAGACCAGGGAGTGCCAAGGATAAAGTCGTACCCAGTCTCCAGCACGTCGAAGTAGGCGGAGGAATGGTAGCGCTGAGGCGCCTGGGTACTATCCGGTGGCTGGAGGGTGAGGGAGAAGTGGAGGTCGGGGACCGTCTGATCGAAGAAGCGCTGCGTCTTGTTATCTCCGAGGGTAACGGAGATAGGAGAGCGAGACCCAGAGGTAGCTAGGCGAGCTTCCTCAACCACTCGAGGGTGAACGAAATCTCCCTGCGAGCCAAAGTCCCATAAAGCGCGGTACACCCTCGTAGATGTCCCTAGGCGAATAGGGATGATGGGTAGGGTRCGATCAGGGTCAGAGAGCAAGGCGAGAAGACGACGCAGGACGTTGATGTGTCTCGTGAGGCGCTCCTGACGAGCCTGCAGAATGCTCAAGACCAGGAGAGATGACACAACGTCATCGCGAGTCGCCAGCTGAGCGCCACAACAGGCTGTGCGAATGGCGCGACGCGTCGGAAGTCTCAAGCGAGAAGCGCTAGATGCGGCAGTCTGCTGGGAGGCAGACGGTACCTCGATAGACGATGGGGCAGAGAGAACTGCGTCTATCGTGTCCTGAGGGTCCTCTGGTGGGGTAACCAAAGGGGCAAACCGCGACTCGGTGGTCGGAAAGCCGGCTACGTGCGAGGCCTCAGGGGCACAGTGCGCCGTGGCTAGGTGGATGGGGCTGGCCGAGCGGGGCCGGGGGGGGACTGAGATCGACGCTGACGAGAGATGTCAGCATAGTGCCGATCGAGGGCGGTATGGTATGGACACCGTGAGGAGGTGTGTCCATCTAGGCAGCAACGAAGGCAGCCGCGCCGGGCCTCGAGGGCGGCACGCTCCTCAGGGGATAGAGCTCCGCGAGGAGGGACATAACCCTGCGGGAGGTCTATCTGAGGACCCGTGGGTGTGTGGACGCCAGCCTGTGCAACCCGACTACGAGCACGACCCATGGAAGACATGGCCATCAGCAAGCGCTCGGCCACCGGAACAGTGTCGTCATCCAAGTGATACTGGATGACATCTCGTAGCTCGATGTCCTCGGGGGCGTCCCCAAGGGTAGGGTCAAACTCAGTCGAGGCGTCCTCGCCGTACTCCAGAGAACTGTAGCGCTGAGAGAATGACGCTCCAGGGCGGGTCGGGTGACGAAAATGACCAGCAAACGAGGAGCGACCTCGGGTGGTACCCCGAGACTGAGAGGTGGCGGCTGGCCGCGAAGAGGATGGGGCGACGGAGAAGCGACTGCACATCCTCTGGTACTGGCGCGCAGCCTCGTATGCCTGCTCCGCGGAAGAGAATGATCGCCTCCATAGCTCTAGGCGATAGTTAGTCGGCASGCTGACAAGGAACCGGCCGGTGAGTGTGACCTCCGGTAGGAACGTCTCGTCACAAACAAGGCGAGCGTCCTGAAACACCCGGATGTGACGTTCCAGGTCGGCCGGTACAGAGGACCCGGACCATCTGGTCTGGGTGACGCGGTCYAAGGCGTCGGTGGCGTCATGACGAGCGCCGAAACGGTCCTGAAGGAAGGCCGCGAAGTCGGCCAGAGTGGGGACCTCACCCACGCGGAGGCATTGGGTATAATGATCCTCCCACACAGTGGAAGGGCTACCTCGCAATTTGTTTGCGAGCACATCGCACCATAACTCCTGACGGGTGGTCGTCATAGAGAGCGTGCTCGTTGCTATCTGCAACCAGCGAGAGACACGGGTTGTGCCATCATACTCGGGAATGTCCGTGGTGCGCAAAGGAGGATGTCCACTGTGCTGATGGCGGGGGAAGAGAGATCGAGGCGAGTGCACTGCGGCAGCGTAAGTCGAGGTCGCTGCAGGGGCAGAGGTGGGGGAAGGTTGTGGGCCGTGGCCGCTAGCGGATGGACCAGCAGACGAGGAGGCAACGGCCGCGAGCAGCTGTCCCGGAATAGCCAGGTAGGAGGAAAGAGGCTGAGGAGCAGGTCGAGGGAAACGAGCCTGCATCCTGTAGAGGAAGAAGGGTGGGCAGCCTGTGATGGGTGAGGTTGTCTCAGAGCAAGAATCTCCGCCTGAGCCTGCGCAATGGTGGCCTGTAAAGTGGCCACGCGCTGGGTGCGCGGGGTCGGAGGTGGAGGGGGCGGAGCGGGTCTCCCAGTGGGAGGAGGAATCCCAGCCTGGGCGGTACCCTGCTGTGGGGGTGGGGGGACAAAGGCGGGAAGAAGAGGGCGGAGCCGTATTGCCGCGACCGGTGCGGGAAGCTGGGAAGCAACACCAGTGTGGGTCGATGAAACTGCTGGGCCTCGAGGCGGTACCTGGACCGCAGCACCTACGGTAGTAGTAGAGACGGTAGGGGCGGTCGTGGCCGTGGCCGGGAGAATTGCCGCAACAGACGGGGTGGTCTGAGCGGCAGCAACACTTGCCACTGTTGCGGGGGAGTGTTGGGCCTGGCCCGTAGAGGAGGGGGAACCACGATGTCTCCGACTCTGGAGTCGTGGGGAGCCGGACTCGGAGCCGGTAGGGGATGGGGTATGGGAGCGGTGGGGAGAGTGATGAGGAGAGCCCTTGAGGCGGTTGACGTCAAGGGCAAGCGCATTGATTTGCGCTTGCAACGGTCCAAGCGTACTAAGTTGCGCCTGAATCGCTACGAGGGTGGCATGAAGGTCCATCGTGTCCGCATGGGYCTGACCCTGACCCGCTGGMTKAACGCTCACCTGGGAGGTGGACGGCGCCGCGGTGATCTCCTCAAAGGAACTCCCTTCCATGGTCGGAAGGGAAAGGGAGGTAGAGCTCACGGGGGTGTGTGGGGAGAGGGGCCCGCCGATAAGAGGAAGGGGACCGCGGGAGCGGAGTAGTATGTGTGATTCGGCTCACCCCGGATTTGGCGGGTCGCGCATGAGAAGAACGCGCCAAATCGCTCAAGGAGGAGCCGTTCGGGTCCAGGGTGCCCGACGGGAGGAGGCGGGAGAGTAGGGGGTTTAGAAGAACCCTAAACTCTAGAAAAACCCTAAGAAAACCCTAACCGGAGTTTACGTGGTTAGGGGAGGGTAGCGGCGACCTAATCAAGAAAAAGATAATATGGAAGGGGGGGGGGGAAAGAAAATAGAATAAACAATAAAATTTTAAGATAAAAATAAAATAAATAAATAAATAGAAATAAATAAATAAATAAAATGTAAAGAGTGAGGAGAGAGAGAATATTTATTTTTTTGGAATTTTCGGCAGCATTTTCCCACCCCGCATGGGGTCAAAAATGTGCCAAGAGGAAGGAAAGTGCAAGAGGAACACACTAACTTTCAAAATGCCGCAAATTAAAATTTTCAGAAAAATAAATAAGTAAATAAATAAATAAATAAGGAGGTGGAGGAGAGTGAAGAGAAGCTAAGTTTTTGAATTTTTCAAAAATTTCGGCAGCATTTCGTTGCCCCCATGGGGTCGAAGTGTGCCGTGAAGACGAAAGAAAAATAAGAAGATTATGCCAGCACTTCGCTACCCCCAAGGGGTCAAAATGTGCTGAAAAAGACTAAGTATGAAGAAAACAGAAAATTTCGGCAGCACTTCGTTACCCCCACGGGGTCAAAATGTGTACCCAAAGCAAGAATGGCTAAGTCCTAATCAGATTTTAGGGTGCCGCAAAAAATTTCGAATTTTCAGAATAAATAAAATAAATAAAAAATAAATCAGAAAATAAGAAAAGAGGTAGGGAATAAGATGATTCAGATTTTTGGAGGAAAAGATAAAATTTAAATAAAAAAGAAAAAAAAAAGAAAAAAAGAAAAAAATCGAAGTGCGGGGGGAGGGGATGAAAAAGTGATAAAAAAAAAAAAAAAGAATAGGTGGGAAAGAGAAAAGATTGAAGTGGTAGATGAGGGAGATGATGGGGTTGTAGTTTGGGGAAGAACGGAGGAGAGGAGGGTAAAAGAATGAGAGAGAAAGCTATGGAAAAGGTGAACAAAAGAGTGAGAGATTAGTAAAAGAAGGTGAGTGGAGAGAGAGGAGAGAAAAAGATGGTGGGAGATGAGTGAAGAGGGAAGGGTATGAGAGATTAAGGGGAAGGAGAGGAGAGAAGTAGGGAAAAGAAGCAAGGAGAGTGAGGTTGGGAGAGGAGAGAGTAAAAATATGGTTGTGGATGGAGAAAGAGTGAAGGGGATGAGAGATTAGTGGGGAGAAAAGGAGAGAAATGAGAAAAGTGGAGAGAAGAGTGAGAAAAGGTGATAGATGAGTGGTGGTGAGAGAAAAAGAAGGTCAAATGATGAAGGGGAGAGAGGGAAAAGGGAGTGGGAGAGTGGATTAGGGATGAGAGAGGTGACACCCAGCTCTTGGGTAACCAAGAGCATACAACTTCACCAAGATCCACAAGATCTTGGCCTTCATACACCCCTTGGGAGAAGGGGTCTTCAAGGTGGTGATGAACTGCTGCTGCACATTATCTGGGGTTGGCTAAGATCTTGATCAGCCACCCAGTTCCACTGTAGTGCAGCCCCCTAGCCAGGGGGGTCTTCAAAAAAAAAAAATCCTCAGCAAACTGCCACGTGGCACTTTTGGAGATGGTCACGGGTCAA